AAGCGACTTGGGAATAAAGGTGCAACTACAATAAACAAAACCCCCCAATAGCAATGAAAATCTAAGACTGCAAGTTGAAATACAAAAGTTTCAGAAGGCGTCTTAGTTTTAATATTCAAGCTAAACTGATTCAAGTCCTGCCACCTACTAACCATGTGTTGGAGGAAAGCAGGAAAGACCGTTCCCAACAACAATCAGAAAGACTGTTCTGAGGGAAAATTTGCTGCATCTTGGCAAATCTTTCTTCACAGCAGACCTTATATAAGGGACTCAGTACCTACATAATCTGTCTTACATAAAATAACTACTGCTTGAGGAGTAAATAGGTGTCATTTATTATTTGTATAATTTTTCAATTGTAGACATCCGCACTATGTTTATGGCTGTGGGAGAAATTTTAGGAGCCAAAGTGCTAGGAGAGCCTGGAAGGACACCAAGCCTGAGAAAAAGAGGTAAAAATACATAGCTTTCAGTGAGGAAATTCAAGTGAGCAGCATGTAGATTTATAGTGATGGTACAGTCAACCAGATTTCAAACAAATTTTTAAAAATAGAAAAATAATCAGGTTTAATGTTCAATCCTTTTATATCCTACAAATTATAGTCCAAATAAGTTCATCCTTTATCTCTGAATTTTCAAATATTAAGCATTTTAATTTCATGATAAATGCTTTAATTAGCCCCTGTAACAAGAACTTAATCCTATAACACTTCAGAAAATTAAGAGATGGTTTGTTTTTCAGTTGTTCTGTCCAATTTTTCATTTGTTTGTTTTTCTAAATAATGCAGCTTTTCTTCTCTCGGGCTAATGTCAAAATAAATTTTTATCACTGATTGGGTTGGAAGCCTATAAGGCATAGCATCACAATACTGAACTTGAACATTTCTGAGAAACAACAACTCAAAAAGATAGAAGGGCAAAAATAAAATCTGTTTAAACTCGTGTTTTGCTTTGCCTTCCTTGATTCTCATTAGCTTGCAAAAGGAAGTTGAAAATCCTTATATATTGGCACTGCATATGTGACATTAGATAGAGTGGTTGACATACAATAGCTTTTCTTTGACACAAATGGTATAGATACCAAAATATTTTTGTTCATTTGAAGCACAGTTTGCAACTGACTCCTGGCCAAGAGAGAACACATTTGGTAGCTGACTATTTTGGTCAGAACAGAGAGTAGCATCTTTTGAACTTAGTCAAAATGTTAATCCACTACACGCACCAAATGTTTTTGACTCTTAACACATTTAGAGAAAAATCTCAGCCTCAGCTTCTACTTCCTGAATTTATCAACAGCAATTCCAGCTAGCTTAAAATCAGACAAAGATCAAATTCCCCTGGACATAATGATTTTTTGGCAAAGTTGTGATACTGGAGAAATACAGCAAATGTGAATAAAAACCCACACTCAGCAATGACTGGGTCACAGATCAAACACCATACCACTTTACCATTAATGGGAACAGCTAGTGAGGGAAGCAGAGACCTCACGAATTCATAGCAATGCAACAACAAAGGTTAGAATTAAATTTTATCAACTTTGTGTATCAACACTACATAAGAACTGTGTCCTTAGCTCCAATCCATCCATCACTGCTTGTTTGTCACTTCCTTATTCCATATTGTAAATGCATATTAAACATCTCGCATGTCAGTGAGTCCCCTTCCTGTTTTCAAAAGCACCTTTCTTCCAAGCACCATCATTCTTCACAATACACTGACCAAGGAGGAAAAAACAAACTGCAAAACAGATCATGTAAAGGGGTGCAGTCACACAGCTGATGATCTTATTACTGTAAGAAACCGCAGTGGAAGGAATCCTAGGGGCAGCAATAATCCTAAGAGTTTTGGGCAACAGCAGTGTTCAGCCTAAATACCTCACGTGACTGAGGGCCTCACCATTCACATTGTGCCAGCAGAGGACTTCCTGAGATGGGACCAATCTTCCTGAAAAAATCTGAACTTGGGATCCTCTAAAAATTCTAGAAGACATGGGCAAGAGTCAAATTTATTCTTGCAATAAAGCCTTTTAAGGAAGAAATTTAAAAAATATGTAATATCCCTGAGTTTCCAGCATTTACAGAAGAAAATATCAACGAATCCTCTACATAATAGTTTAAATTATTGATTCAGTCATGCAGCTCCTAAATGAAAAAGTACTCATGGTTAAAACCCTAATGTCACCTTCATGTTCGACAGGATATGTGATGGTTTGGAAGCTATTATTTCAAAACTCACATGTTGGAATTTTCTCATTGACTGCTCATACGTTTCAAAATTATTCTATAATTATCAACAGAACAAGCTAAATTAACCCTGAAGCTTGTAGTAATAAGAATTAAACTGCTCTTACTTATCTATCTACTTATGTGCAAATAAACCTACCCATTAGAGTAACAGCTGCCATTGTAATGCAGTGCACTCTGCTTTGATTAACACCTCTGCACAGATCTGTGCACTGTCTATATGTCTATGCAAATAGGCACCCAGAGTTCTCCATACATTTATCCACTGATGTCAGAAGTGTGTTGGGAGGGAGGGAATAGGCTCAGGGAGCTTTCATTACTTTTCCATTTAAGCACAGATGACTTGCACAGCCTTGGGTAAGTCTCCTTGTGGCTCAGTAATCATCTTTAAAAGTGGATTAATATCATATTCCTGTTACACAGGAATACCATAAATGCAAGACTTCACCACTCTGAAGTCATGAGATACTAGACCAACAAGGTCAAGATGTTCATATCATCTTTGTACATAGCCGTGGATACCTTTTTTACAAAATTATTAACAAAATAAGAAATATTTCATAAACCTAAAATCATCAGGAAAAAAACACCTCAGGAGAATCAGCAACATGTACAGTAATATAAACAAAAGTCTATTTCTCCTATGAAATCACCTTTCATGGCCTTTCATGTGAAGTCTTACCTGTGTATTCATAACTTTCAAAACAGAGCTTGAAAACACAAAAAAACCCACACAAAAAAAACCCACAAAACCCCACTAGAATATATTTTCCAAAGCTATGATTACCTGGTAATCAAATAACTTTTAACTTACCAGTAAGCAAATAACTTTTAAAATGTTCAATGTACCATGAAAAATTTAACTTCATAAACTTGTTCATAACATCATAATGTTCCCTGTTTTGTATGATGCATAACCTGATTTTTTTCATAGAAAAAGAAATGTTGTCTTACTTTAAAAAATATTAATTTTTAGTCTCTACAGCTACACCAAGGTAGTATTTAATATGTCTCATACAAAACAAAGAATATTTGAAACATTTCAAAAATAATTTCTTGCAGGATTGGCAAGGGTAGTGTGAAAGATTGAGGTGTTAATGGCTAATGGCTCAAACAATCAGCCACTTGCAAAAGCAGCAGGTGCTTTGCTGAGGATAAGCACAGTAACAGCCCAGGTGCAGAGGGTGTGAGCACCAGGGGATGACCATGACAAAGCAGCCTTGGTTTAGCAAGAAGCTGGGGTTTGAGACAGATGAGGGAGGAGGCCAAAAAGTAGCAGATCCTGTGAGGTGGATTGATATTTTTTATCATGCTGATGTCCTTCCTTACACAAGTGGCTCAGCTGTGAAATTCCTCCCCACCTGGGGGACATACTGGGATATTCACACGTAGGCCTGAAGATGTTCATCCCATCTGATGGGGCATAAGGGGCTCAACTGCACTGACTGAGAGGCAGTTGTCATGTCTTAGAAAATGTCATAAACCATCAAAGACCCCAAAAATGCCCCCAGAATAATTCCTGGGGTTTTCCACCAGAGGACTGAGCAGGATCCACAGTGTTGCAACAGATTCAAGGTGCTGCAAAAGACAGCATAAAACTCCCTACCCCAGGGCAGGTGCCTGGGCATTCCATCTAAAGCTAAGCATATATTTAAACTCTCTGGAATTTGTGTTTTGTGGGTTTCTCCCACCCCTGATGGATCAAGATACCATTTAGACCAAAGGACATCAAAATCGAGTCTTGTTACTAAATCCACAGATGGTGATATCTTTCTGCTCTTATCCTTTCCTTCTCTTTCTTCATTTCTTCTCAAAATACATTGTCAGCCAGACTAAAAAATTCCTGTCAATGCCTTATTAAGTGTCCTGTATCTGGATTTGTTAAGCTTGGCTAAGTTTAAGTTTGCTAAACTAAATTTTGTGAAGTACTTTGGATGTTTTTTTAACATCAGTCAAGTATCTTATTCTATCTTGATGTTCTACATTTTGCAAGTAAAAGATTGTTGCTGACTCTTCTGAGAATTTTGTTCTCTCCTACACATTTCCCAGAGTCAATTAAACCACTTTCCCTACACCAGGCAAGTGAACAGGAGCATGACAGGTAAAGTAAGTTTGAGACTGTCCTTCCCTTTCCTTTTAGACAGCTATATCCATCAGGTCTTTCTACCCAGTGTGAAACATTCTCCCTAATTTCTGTATTATTTGCAGTGAGCCTAAAAACAATTTCTTATAATCCAGAGCAATATTCTGAACATTTCTTTCTTTTTTAATGTCACTGACTTCTTTAAATGCTTACTAAACAATGCAAACTATCAAGGACAGATCTGTAAAACCCCACAATCATGTTGATGACCCAGCTTCCAACCTATGTCTTTCAAGAAGTTTTAGATTTGATTTCCATCAGGTCCCTCAGTCTATTGCCAATATTAAGAATGCTCCTTTCACTCCAGGTTTTCATGCAAGAGGAATCCAGTTCATCCATATCAAGATTTCTCCAGAATATAAACCAAAGTACAGTCAGTGGGAAAATCAGAAGATTTACTGGTCTAAATTAAACAGCTAACACAAGCACACTTATCATGAAACGTCCATAAATCAATTTTCAAATTTCAAACTACATGGGGTTTGGCATGTTCTGATTTCAGTAAGATTGTTTCAAATCCATCCACAATAAGTAAAAGAATACAGGTTTAAAGGAAGTTTATATATATCTTACACCATTTACCCATATATGCAAAAGATTCAGGAACTCACCATATCAGTATCTGACACAGGTCCAAAACTGGTCACATAGATGTTAGTGAAGACTTCAGTAATACTATCTGATATAAAAAGAAAAGAAAAAAAAACAAACAAGCAAACATTTTAAATTGACAGTACTTTTTCTATTGTTATGTAAGATTATGGGACATTTTGAACAGGTTTCTCTCCTTATTTACTACCCCTCACCAGTGTCCTGTTGTAAATACTGGGGGTTTCTTTCCCACTTAACACAGAGGTTAACAAACAAGCATTTGTATCACAGAGTAGTTTGTTTAAGCCTGTTTAGCTACACAATCACCAGCAACTACACACACATATCCCGTTTCTCTACCAGCAAAAATAACCCCAGCATCATGGACTTAACATGGAAGGAGAGTTCTGAACACAAAATGCCTTTGTTGCAGAGGTGTTACCTCTGTTGTTGCAGATCTCTCCTATTAAAGCCTTTCTAGTTGAAGGCTGTTTTCTACATTCTTAATAGCTTTTCCAAAGAAAAAGACAAGAAAAGGCAATTATTGACTGCACCAAATGTAACACAACAGCATCCTACTTTTCAATTGGGTGTGTTTTTAAGTGGCACATATTTTAATATAACAGTTCCTTTCCTTGATAGGCAATGCTCATGACACATTGCTGTGGTACTGTGAACACTTTGAGAAAATGTCCTTCCCAATCATTGCAGTCAGACAGCCATGAAATCAGAATATTAGATATTGTACTGCAGGGAAAAATAACTGCTTAGTTTTCTATCTTCAGTTTTCAATTAGGCTCAAAATAGAATGATATTCACTAAGAGGGGCAGTATGCACAGGAAATTTCTTAACAGCAGTTGCCAACCACAGTCTGCATTCTAGACACACAGTCAGCATTCTAGACAGTCAACACAAGGAATTCTCTGCCTTAAAGCCAGCTGCTGATTGGAAAAGAAAAATTTGAATATAACTGGGTGCAATTTGACTCATTGCAGAATTTCCCATTCCCAAAAATAATACAACTGCCTGTTGTATAAGTGATCCTGCTGTTATATTATGATTATATTTCCCTATTTAATCGTTATTAAATGTGGGTAGATAATAGTTTCTGTTTTCCTGAAAGCTGCCTTTTAACAAATACATGATACAAGCCAATTTTACTTCTAATTATATGGAGGCCAACAGTACAATCCCTGCTCCTCACTGGGAGAAACCAGTGGTGCTCACTCATGAGAGCAGTCTCTACCAGGCACCAGGAAAGGCCAGCACTGTTCCAGGAGCAGCTGCATGGGGAGCAGTGCATTTTCAAAGGGATGTAGCTGCAAAGATACAGTGATTTCAGACAACTTCTGGAGCATGGACAAGGAATATTCATCTGTTCTCATCTGCAAGGAAACTTCCTTTTTCAGCCAAACGCTAGAAATACAGGACTCCAAAAAGCCCTTCCTACCAAAAAGAATCTTTTTCCCAGGATCATGTCTGCTTTTTAAGCAAATAAATAAAGATTGACTCCTAAAAATCCTCTGCACGTCCTAAGATTGGTTTATTTGTATGATAGAGACTTCTGAAATCCATTATGAAGCATCCTTACACAAGCTAAGTTGATTTCTACTCCAAACTTCTTACAAACAAATTTTAAGTCAGTGGACAGAAAAGGTGCTGAGTCGGCACAGCCCTTGCTATTCAACAAGGATAAAGTACAGATATGGCTGAAGTATCCTACAGGAGCCACAAGTACATTTCAGAGGACTAGGGACTTCATGCTGCCCATGGGAGACTCTCCAGAAAAAAAAAAAAAAGATTATTATCTCCAAATGGTTACCTGGCACAGACTGGAATGAAATGGGAGAGTGACAAGAGAGCTACTCTTCAGGAGGTAAAATGGAGCTGCAGGGACTAATTGTGAAATTTGGCCTGTACTGATGACAATACAAAATATTAATTAAAATTCCAAGAAAAGCACTGGTGTTACAAAAATATGACCGACAATCAAGTATCCCAACAGCAGGGATCAAGGCTAAATTCAAATATAATTGTATAACTTGAAGGAACCCTACTATAGGCAACAAAGTCACTTGGCAAATCTTTACCTACATGCTCCCCACCCACCAAATGCTTGGAAACATGGTCCTCTTGTAAACTTACTCTAATGCTACCAGTTATTTGTATGTGATTTTTTTATTTGACACAGAGGAATGATTTTAATATTTGCATAGAATAAACTACAGGACATGGAATCTTCAAGCTTGCCTTGCATTCCAAGTTCTAATTTTTTAAAAAATTCCCATATTCTGTTATATGATTTCTAAACTCTTCTGGATCTATTTTTCCATCAGAAATGAGTAGAGAAGACAGAGAGGAGAGCAAACATATTGACCACAACTGCTATTAGAACAGTCTATCGATTCTCCCTGTTGGTTTGTGTTAAGAAAAAGTACACTAAGGAAGAAATGGCTGTTTTTTATATTTTTACCTCTTATTTTCCAAATTCTTCATAGTTAAGAAGTTTCTATTCATACCCTACCTTAAAGAAAAGAAGTCCTTAAAGACAAAAGAAGCTGAAATGTAATAAATCTTGAATTACTCCTGTTACCATTTGTGTTAGCAGCCTGAATCTTGTGTTTGTTTCTTCCTTGTTACTTTACATAGTGCTAAAATAAAGGTACCTCCGAATTAAAAATTTGAACTTGAGGGTTCTGAATCAACGTCAACAAAAACAAAACATACATCATCCTTTTTTTACAACAAATATTGTAGCTATTGCTTTGAAGGAGTATGTACTTGTCAAACAAACAATTCAGAAGCACAAAGCACAGTTTCAAATGGGCTCTCTAATCAAAATTCATCCAGCAGGCGTCACAGTTACAGGCTTTTTATAACTCGTATTCTGTCAAGAACAGCACCAGTCATCGTACTTAGCCCACCAGAGATTCAAACAGTTCTGGATCATCAGTTCTTGTGGAAAAGCCAAGGAATATACTCAGCTAAAAAGATGTTCAATGCAACATGTGTTTGCATAAAAATCTAGCTTGTTTTTTTGAGAAAAGGACAAGCTTTTCCCACTGGGATTATAAAATTTGTTTCCTCAAGTGACACATATGCATGTAACTAAAAGGCCTGATTTTCAAAAGTGCTAAAATCAATGGAGGCCCATATTGAAAAAAAGTCTAGATTTTAAAGAACCCTCTGTTGGGAGGAAGGGGGGCAGATGCATTTATACTTGTGGGCTCTTAAGTTATTCTGAATCACTGCTTTTGAAAGTTATACAAACAAATGGGAACAGCAAAGGGTAAGGATATAATTTCTATTTAAGATGCTTCTTTTAGGGGAAAAAATCTCAGGCAAAGAATATAACAAGTAGCTGCCACCATCACATGACATACTCTAAAATTCTGCAAAGGTTATTACAGCACCATTTCTAACTTACTTTGGTCATAAATGTTAAAAAAATTCCCTATCTGACTTAGATCAGACTAGTTTCTCAGATGATGGAAGTCAAGGGTAAACTGACAAAATATAGTCAATAAAATTAATGATAAAAGAAGAAAGAAAAGCACATCCCATGGAAGTAAAAAAAACCCCAGTAATTATTAAGATCACGTTGCACATGGTTCTCAAGCACTGGTTTCTTCTGATTCCCCTTCCTTACTTGAACTGACATGATATTATTACTGGGGAAAATAAAAAACAGAAAGGAAGAAAGATCAATACATATAACAAATTGTAGAAGATTTATACATCCTTATCTGTCATTAGCTGGAATGTTTGCTGTGTATTTTAATTACACTTAGGATCTAAAAAAAAAAATGTTAATTATAACAAGTCCTCTATGAAGATAATAATTTTATTATCCTCAATTTTCCTTGGGAAGCTGAGGCAGAAGGATTAAATTATGTGCAAGTAAGGTGAAGTACAGGTGTTTGCCAAGTCTGCTTACAGATGTCCACTACTAAGTAAACACACTGGAAAATGTCAACATCATTGACTTGTCAAAAAATTAGAAAAGTGGTTCAGCACTTAGCTGGAGTTGGTATCAGTGGCATCACCAATTCCTTTATGCCAGCTCTCCAGCTGTTGGGATACCCTTTCTGATGGTCTGAAATCCTGCTGACTTGTCCCTCAGCAGAAGAGCTGGCTCAGCTGAAGTAGGCTGCTTGGCAGAGAATTTGCAGTGGCTGAAGTCTAAACCAATCCAGGCTGAGTAACAGAGATGATCAGAAAAGTCAGATGAAAAGGCTCCTCAGGAGCATTTACCAGTTTGTCAAAATGTTAAGATTCCACAGAGGCATTTAAATTTTCAATGAGTTCCTTTGGTCTGCTGTCTGACAGCAGTTTTCAAAATTTTTTCGAGTTCTTTCATATGTCCCTTCTCAGCTGCCTGCATCCCTGACAGGGTACACAGAGTTCCAGTCTGTGATGTGAGGTAGATAGACATGCAGGATTCTGCATACCTGAGAGCTCCCCCTCTCCTGGAGAATGCTGAGAAAGCATTACCTTTATTGAAATAAATTTTCAGAGTATTTCCCATATTTGAGAATGACCTGAGTATTATTCATTCCCCCCCTCACCAAAATAATCTAGATTCCTTTCTTCACAGAGGGTAGGGACAAAACATGCATGGCTCACTCTATGTATGTTTAAAAGAAGAGAAGAAAGGAGTGTGATCACTGCAAAATCTTCAGAAAGGTTCCAGATGTTTGTTTGCATGAAACTGGCTATATTATTGATTAATGTGTCAAGGCTGTTTTCAGAAGAAAACAGGCCTGAAAGATTGGGTTGGGCTTTTTATTCTTTTTAATTTCAATTTTTATTCAATAAAGCTGTAAATACAGGTTTTGGGCAGCTAAAATAGAAGACAATCTCTTTGAGGCAATCAAAAACCATCAAAAGTCTTCTTGGTGGGATAGAACTTTTAAAGTATACATACGCAGTTCTAATGTATACTATAAAAAATATTCAGACAAACATTATTTTAAATGTAGAATTAATAGTGCCTGTGAGAACACTGCAAGACTGTAACTGAAAGGCTGCTAAAGCATGCAGAAAAAAAAAAAGAAGCAAAAATAAAATACTGCTCTTTAAATAAG